AAATAAATGCAAACAGATCATTTTCACTACCTTAATGTTAGTTCTCCTTCACCATATGATTATAAAACATTCAAAGTGCTCTTTTTGTCCAAACCAACATCCATCAAATCCTGCTAAAGAATAAATTACACAGCTCAACTCTTCTCCCCAAAAATGCCTTATTAGGGACACCTATCGCAATCATCAGATGGAAGAGATGGACAATCACAATGAAATGACAACAGAGAAAGATCAGCTGTCAGGAAATATCACTGTTGATGGTTGATGGATATATAATAAGCACCTTCAGAAAAATATCCTTGAAAGAATGTCTATTTTTTGATACCACATATGCTCCTACATTTGCTTTTTAAACAGAAATAGACTCAGAACGCCTAATGATTGTATGGGACTGAGCTTTGCAGATCAAGCTAATACTTACATTCAGGTTTTCCATTTGACAGATAACACTAATATTTTGAATAGTTCTACATAAAACCAGTTTTCAACAATATCTCCTTCAGAAATCTCAAGCAGTTTCTGAAAGAAAACATGCTTGTAGCTGGTGATTAAAACTGATGTGATTCTTCTCAGTTCCATCAAGCTTCACCACTCAAAATCAGTAAGATTCAATGAAACCCACATACAACGTTAATCATGTCAATACAACTCAGTAGTAGCCAAGACACTAGGGTATCTCTTATAAACTGGAACAGAATTAGAGGCTTACAGTCTTTGGGAACGTTTTGAATAGAAGTAAACCTAGGTCAACTAGGTCTCAAAGTTGAGGGAATGAAGCGGTCATGAAGCCTACCAGGATTCAGATCCTCGACTTTAAAGCAGAGAATGTAGAAACTCTGAAATCCCTATACTGGGCATAAGGTCCTAAATTCACATTCATATATGCAGAAGCCTAGAATCAGAAAACATTCATTGTCCTACAGCGTTCTTCCACCAGCTGGTTACCTAAACTATTAGAATCAGTCAGCATGACCAGCTAGTTGGCATGCAAGCCAATAAACTCCAGGTGTTTTGAGGGATTTTGTACGGCAAGTGTTTCTCACAGTCAACAGCATCCCTAGGATGCACATACAAAGATATTTTGCTTTGTTTCTGCTGTCTACTTTCCCTTGCCCCTACTTCTGGAGTAACAGACCTAAGAAACTCAGGTTAATGACTTCAGCGTGTTGTACACGTAAATCAACTACAGCAAATTAACTTCTCCTTCTTCAAGGACTTATTTGCATGTACATTCACAGAGTGCATGACTCCAAGAACACACTTCTCCATACAAACCTATAAGCAGGCCTTGGAGTTTTCACATGGTTACAATGATCAGTGTGTCTTAATTACAATGTTTGGTAAAATGAATATAGAGCTCTGAGTAGCCCTCTGCAAACTACATTGAAAAAGATTTTTGCAACAAATACACTTTCATGATGTTGAGCTCTACTGGCATCTGTCTAACCAAATATGGAGGAGTTATACTAGCAATCTTACAGCAGATCTCTGTATAACTAGATACGGCCATTTCTTTGGATTGCAGTAACTGGAACCAATTGACAAAGGGTTTAGTCCTGTCTGTGCAGAAGGTGTGGGCACTCTGACAAAGTCCCTGGAGGCACATAAATACTAGCAGAATGAAAGTTAAAAATGAAAACAGCTAAGTTTATTTCCTAGGTAGTATGAAAAACCTTGATACAACTTTGGACAGCAGTTAGAGGTATGCTCTGTGGGAAACCTGTCAGAGGGAAAAACTACATCAGAAGGATCTGTACCTTTCCCCAGTCTCGTAGAAGCCTCTGGAAGGGATATTTTCCTGGAGCAATGTAATAAGGAACAGATTGGCAGTTCTCAAAGGGCTGCTGCATTCAGGAAGCTAGCATTTGAACCAAAGCTGTTAGGGAATGAGTTTTCTAATTAGACGAAAGAAATGTAATACTCATGAGTTATCAGATACCGAGAAACCATCCAAGGATGGGTGAGAGACAGCCACCAATTACACCTGACATTACTCACAGAAAGGCTTTCACCTTTTTGTAACAACAGACTTGAGGAAAGAAAAAGGTTCATCAAATGAAGAGAAAGCTAAACTCACTTGGTTTAATCCTTTTGGGTAGTAGTGAGCAGGAAGAGCAGAAATGAAGAAAACCAATCCTGCCTCACAATGAGAACCATCTGGTGCTCATGATGTGAGGACTGGAACTTGGCAAGACTGAAATAACTTTGTCTCCCTGAATCCCAGGTGAGGGGGTCTAGAAATAGACAGGCTAAGACGATTCTGTTGTGAGAACGGGTTCAACTAGCCGGGATGAGAAGTGTCATCAGAACGCTATCTTGCCTTACCTTCTGGAGGACCTTCCAGCAACGGAGTGATGGGAAAGGTCTACATCAGATAGTATGACCAGTGAAACAGATCTAAGAGGGATCCTGAACATAAACTAGTGCTTGTTTACATCGGAATATAAACTAGTCCTTGTTTACATCTGAAATGGAAAGGTTGATTTTGGAAATTCCTGGACTGGAACGCACCTATGAGATCCACTCACTCTGTTTCCTCCAACATGAAAGTTATGGTAGTACGCGATGGAATCTAAACAGGGGATCTAAATTACATACTCTTAAAGGTGAATCTTCAGCCACTTCTACTAGCAGATCTTTATCCATACCAGTATTTCCTAAGTTTAAGTTCCCTTTCAGAAAGCAAATGGCCAAGGCTGAGATAACACCCGGTACCGGCTCTGACCACGTGTGACACTTCCTACCCAGCTCTCTTGAATATCGGAAAATTAAGGAACCTATGCTGCTTGTACTAGTCAAAAAACTGCTTCTGAAAGGAACCTCACAAGCCAAGACGTCCATCAAGGTCACCTGTGCCAGACAGTCGTGAGAACTGTTCTAATAAGTCTGAATTAACAATAGGATTCAGA